CCGGTGTACTCACTTTACGGCACTCTGGACACTTTGTGGAAGCCTCAGGTCACACAATTTCAACATGGACCTTCTATATTTTCTCTTCACTCATCGTCTAAAGAGTATCCTACTGAATAACTAAGCATCAAACGGTTTACTTAGGTTATTTTCAATGCGAATGATATGATCACAAATCCCTTTTCTAGAGTGGGTTCTTCGAATCATCTCTAGACTAATATAGTTAGCAATCATTTTGATGACATGATGACGCAATTCAATTGATGTTTATACAATTTGAGATGGTAGAGGTTTGTAGCTTAGGGGAATGATTTTGATCGAGTTTTGTTCTCTAAGCTGGATCGTTTGACCAGAGAACAAAACTCTATCAAATGTTTATGCAATCTTCCTCTTCCCATTTTCACAGATTAAACATATCTTACACACATTTTTATTATTATGACTCTTTCAAATATCGCGAGAAATTTTTCCAGCACGAACCCCTATTTACTAGTTCATACCTAATTCATATTATCCTACATACTAGGAGATTCCTGATTTGTAATTGGATTACTGTCTCTCTCACCTTATGTTAAACATATTTATTCTGACTATTAATTTCACAATTTCATTTAACATACAGACTTATTCAAGCTGTAGTGACCTACCTTTATGGAGATAACGCGATTGGTATGATGGAAACAATTATTATAACCAATTGTATTAGGGATTGTTTTACTGTACCTGTCTGTTTAAGTGCACTAAAAACACACATTCTTAAGTTGTCAGTGACCTTGCACGGACTCGCGTACACTCAGTAGTCCTAAATGTAAACTTTGGCACGATCTCTGTATTATTTCGATACCACGAGATCGCCAACAAATAAATCTTAATACAATTTTCAATTGCCTTCTCGTATTTGGTCTACGAAGGGATCTAACCTGGTAATTGGCACGTAGTTTTCCTGTAGTGGTTATCATAGTTAACTGCGACTCGATACCATACTAAAAAGTCAATACATGATATTCGTCATATCAATAACGATTCTACTTTATTTTATTTTATGTTGTAAATAGTCCTAAGTTCAAATGCCATATCTATAGCGATACGTTTCGCCTTAAACATGACCGTTTTTGGACCATTAAGTTCGATATATTATTGTAGAATTTGAAGAGAACTTATTAAAACGAATGTTTTATCTCTTCAAATATACGTGGTTTAATAATCTCTTGTGTCAGTCGACTTCATGAAAATTATGACAACCAGTTCGAAAAATGACAGAAGTATTACCCCAAAAGTAGGGAGAGTAGATAAATACAATCACCCTTTCGAAGATTACGAAAGTTCTGACTTTTAATTTTTTGCGGACTCTAATGTATAACCAACACATTCGTGGTTCTGAATGTTGTTAGCAGAGAAACCCTGAATAGATGGTAATCATATTATTGTTTAGAACCTAATTGGTAAGCCAACCCCGCATTGATGTACAAAAATAACCCCACAAAAATCAAAAGGTTTTTATTCGACTAATAGTCCTGATAAAATTGACGAGTAGTCCTGTTTTGCACGAAGTACTAATGAAAATGCAAGGTTATTAGTGATGTTGATGAGAAATCTAAACACCATTGGAAATCACCAGGTGGACAGATCTGAAGCTTTGTAGCGCATTCCAGATTCCTGGGTATAATACTATCAAGCTGGTCATGACATTATTTAACACCACCCTATAAAACCACAGCAGCGTTGTATTTCCCTTAAAGAATATCTCGTATTATAATCGTATGGCTCCACTAAACTCCTTTGTTCGAAATTAATCTGGCTAAACAATAATTTATTGGAGTCAGCATTTAAGCAATACGAAACACAAGCATGTCAATTTTCATGATCAATTGATACTGAAGGCACTTTTATTGGCTAAATGTTCAAACTGCTTATAGATCTATCCTGTATGAAATATGTTCGGAGTCGGTTGTTGACTGTTATCTCCTTTTAAGTCATTAGATCATGATGAGTCGGGTTATTTGTCCTGTTTCAAAAACGTTTGTGGTGTGTTTGTTAGTATTCCGAATTAACGAAAATCGCCTGATCGGACAAAATAATAGGACCTTACTGACAGTGTTTACTCTTTAAAATGATACAGACCTTTTTAGACAATTACAGAGGTACGGAACCATGCGATTCATCGGCTTTTACTACTTTAATGGTAAACGTCATCGGGTGGTACTGAGACTAAGGTCATGTAATTTATAGTTATTGAGACTATATTATTGTTATTACTCAGACTCTTCACAATACACGATAAACGTTGACAACATATTTAAAATTGATGTCACATATGATAATGCACACTGTTAATAAAAAAGCATAAGTACCTTGAAGACTTGTGTAGGTATCATAGGCTTACTTAAACTATTCAATCAATTTCATTAATCAGCTTCATTTGAATGGAAATTATGTGGCTGCTTGTTTTGCATAATCTTACACATAAGCCACGCCATCCAATGACCTCCTGGCATGGCTCAACTCTAACCTAGTGGCCTGGCTATCAATCTCTATTTGCACCTCAAGAGAATACACAAAGTGTGTTACATACTCGTCAAGAAAGAGTGGAGAGGGCCAGAGCGCGACCATGCAGTCGCGTGGTTTGACTCTTGATTTCTACTTACCATTCGTGTCATCCTTCATTGACGATGATCATTTTTCATTGATTATTAAGTCTAATGATCGGTCCTTTAAGATAAGTACGCGTCCATCTTGATGGGCAATTTGACCTGGATCTAGTGTTACTTCACTGAATCTACAAATGTTAAACTATCTATTTATCTATCAATCGGACGAGAGGAATATCCTTCATAGAATAAGGTTCAGTGATGCGTGAAAGAGCTTTTTATTTAGTTGAAATTCCTAAAACTAAGGAGTGGGAGATTGACAAACTCTCTATTTTCAGGTGTTCATATTGATACGTGTTTAGATACTTACTCCTACATTTATCTCTTCTGTAAACTAATAAGAGGTTTTGGTCAAGTGACTGTTCATTGAACTGCGAGACAACCACTGATGCCAAACTTTTCAATGCACTGCAATTACTAGTCGTAGGTCATATCAAATAAGTCAGCTGATAAGGAAATGACACTCTTATCGTAGCCTCAGTCTAAATCATGTGGAAGATGTGAGAACTAGGGGAGGAGCTGGCATAACTTCAGATCACCACCTGGTTGTGGCCAAGAGGAAACTAAAGCTAAAGAAACACATGATGACATGATGAGCATTACAAAGGTTCAATACAGCCATCCTCCGACATACTGACAAACTCAACGGATTAAAGATAACTCACAACAACAGGTCCGAAGCCTTACGGGGATCTACTGAAAAAAGAAGAAACTACTGTGGATTAAAAACTGGAAAGAGATCAATGAAGCACCAATTTCAAAGTGTCAGGTTCTGGGCCGCAAGAAGCAGCATAAAAAGAAATGGATGTCTATGAGAACTCTGAAGAAGATTCAATAAAACGAGAGCAAGAAGACAGTAATTAATAACATTTGAACGAGAACAGTGACTGTCAAGGCACGGGTCTAATACACAGAAACAAACAAGCAGTTGAAGAGGAGCATTAGAGCTGACAGGCAGAAATATGTGGAAAGCGGAAGGCTCTGTAAGAGAAGGTAATATGAAGCAACTATTTGACGTAACGAGGAAACTAGTGGAGAGGTATAGTAGACCAGAGATACTGGCCTAGAACAAGGAAGGCAGGTCAGCCAATCATATCCAAGAACAGAGGAACAGGTGGGTAGAGCACTGAGGAACTCTTGAATACTCCAGGTCTATTTAGTCCACCGGGAGAGACCGCAAGCCGTCAGAGTTACCTATAATATATCTGAGTGATCTTGAATAGCAAATTCAGTGTCGCAAAAATCGATCCTAGAACTAATCCTATTCTTATACCCCATTGAAAACCTAGCTGGCACAATGGACACAGAAGACCCGTTAAATATATATGATCGTAAGATTTGGTAGGAGATTCTAAGTCCTGTCGGCATTGTAACTCTTTAGGAAGATTCTCACAGCATTTATAACTAGATTACTAGAAATCTACCCCCTCTTACTGCCAAAAAATGCAAAATGCCGGTGGTGAACCGTTTTAATGCTATTTTTACATAGTACTGTCTAAATGATTCCAGTGTCACCCTCCCCACCATATAATAAGACTTCAGCATCATCCTATGTGATACCGTGAGTGCTCCCTTCCATCAGCAACCTGCAGCTAACAAAGCTGATCATTTTTCTGATTCACAGTTCAAAACCCACGTAAATTTACATCGGTATTACTCAAGAATATTTTCGGTGACCACAACGGAAAAATCCCCTACGTTGTCTTCTCAGCCTACGAGGAACATTATTTTCTTGAAGGGCTTTTGGAAAAGAACAATCGAAAAACGTCTAAAAGGTTTAAAATCCAGATCCTACCCAGGTCCCCTGGGGATTTTTATTTGGGTATGAGTACAACAGATAATATCACCTTAAAAATAACCGTTTCATTTTTATACTAAGCTACACCCAAGAGGATATTCGCTTAGTATAGAACAAAAAATAGCCCACGTAAACCTTTTAACAAACATTTTCATAGAAGGGATTGCCAAATTTAAGATTCATTGTAAAAAAACAATGATGCCAAAGACACATTTTAAGAGTCTTCCAAAGGAAAACCCAACGTTTAGCTTTGTCAGTATTGAGGAGAATTACTCACACAACTTTTTGAGCCTTATTTTATCTCCATTTACAGAAGGAGCAATGTAAAGGCAGAATCTTTTCATAGCCATAAACGTCCTCCTGCCACCCGAACGATTGTCCTAAGAAACGAATAATTCACTAACCCCAACTAGTAAAGTTTGAAGTTAGAAGCTGTGATAATGAGTAAATTGAATCTTAGCAACTAAATTCAGTTGAAAAGCTGTAGGTTTTTCTAAAAATCACGAGATACGATCAAATGTACTACGTCGACATGATAACAGATTGTCAGGAATGCCCTTGAAAACTGGCAACGCAATTAATCGACACGTGTTGGGCGCTTATTTTGTACCTAGTCTCAACTTTTAGACATTAGAGATGGGACTTTTGGATATGGATTTATTTGCTGACTTTAAACGTATGAACAAAAGACAGGTATTTGCCTCGATATAAATTTTATTAACAATTATATCTAGGTATACTATCAGGTGTTAACCATTGCTATGGTTGTAGCCTCTGCCCTAATGATCTGGAAGCTTTTAGTAGTTATTAGCTATAGCGAAAGTCCTTTAGTAGTTGTCTTAAGGTATACCCACCTAAATTCACAAGCTTTGTTTGATTTTCAGTGGCAGTATGGAGCCTGCATTCCACCGGGGTGATGTGTTGTATCTAACTAATTATCCTGATGAGCCCATCCGAGTTGGTGACATCGTTGTATTCAAAATTGAAGGGAGAGAAATTCCTATTGTTCATCGCGTTCTGAGACTGCACGAAAAGTTTGTTTATGCTTTAATAGAGTGGACATTAAGTCTCGTTTTTCATATGGAAAGATGCTATTTCCCTAAACATCTTTATTGAAATAAAGAGATAGGTGTAGAAATCGCTATAAGATATCTTCATTTCATTCCAGGGCTGTGTGGTTCTTTTGATTTACAGCCGGTAGAGTTTTTGAACCCATTTATTTAGGACAACTTGATAATGAATAATGATAATAAATCTCCCAACTGTGGAAGTCTTTAGGAATTTTGAGAAAATGCTAAAGAAGATGTGAACAAAACCCCAATATTCTTAATGGCCTGGGGTTTTCCTCCAAACAAGCTGGAATCTTGCGAAAATTCTCAAAACCTGTATCTTTAATAGTTCTCTCCAATATGTCCACATAGTTAACATTAAATTTACAAAAACATTAGGCCGATTCAACCAATTCCATCGATGAATCCCTGAAATTTCAATATTTACTTCGTTAAAAGACTCAGTGTTTCCATGGAATTCAAGGAAATCCTGCAATGTTCATTTTGAAATACTAGGTTTCCCATAACTTTGTTGAAAAAACAACAAAATCTCTAGATTTTGGGAAAAAAACTGAAAGTTAAAAAATTGCTGAGCACCCAATTAATATTACAGTACACCGAACCACCCTTTTCACCATTTACTGTGTTTTTGCCAGAACAGTGTATTTGCTTATCGTACGTGCATCATATTTATCTAGAAAGTGCCAGTGCTTTCAAAGCAAAAATAGTAAAACCAATGTTATTTCTTACAGTTGTTTAGTTTATATAGTGACTGCTGATAAGTTGTGTTCAGGATGTCACACTATAAATAATATTTTTATCATGTGATATCAAGTTATCTACTTAAATTCAAAAAGTCCTCAGATGTTAGCAGAAATCAACAATAACACTGTTTGAATATTCCGTAAAGTTTTTGATACACGTTTCTACGTAACATTTATCATGAAAGTAATTAATATATTGATTGTCAGTCACTTTGCCTCAAATGATCTAGGGTTTCTTTATAGTTGTATTAACACGTCAAATAGTAACACATCACTTGTATCTTAATTTCGAGTTCTATGAAACTAGAGATTATCGATAAGGAATGCTTGACAACTTTAAGTAAAATATGAGTTCTTAACAACGTTCCTATCCAGATGATGTATATTTCCTGTGAGTTTCTTGATATGCAACTTGAAAATGTATGACACATTCTCGTAATCCTTTTTAGTGTCAACGGTACCATCAAGTTTCTCACAAAGGGAGACAATAATCCTGTTCATGATCGTGGTTTGTATGCTCCTGGTCAAGATTGGCTGACACCATCCCATCTTATTGGACGAGCTAGAGGGTAGGTTTATTATTGGTCTTGCCATTTATGCTAAGACCAAAGTTTAGTTTCATTTAGATTAAACTTACAGGTCTGTGCACATATCACATGCAACCCTTTAATTTAGTAAGTAGTTTGCGTAAACCCGTAGAAATTAACTAACTTCAATCCCTTTACCTTTCAAATAATCTTGTATTTACCAATAGATTTAATACTAGTAAAATTTTGGACTTAAAACTAAACTACTTCCCAATGGTTAGCTGATTTCATGATTTTTAATCAACAATGGTAGTTTATTCAACCTATAAACAGATCAAAAATTTTCGAACGACGAAAAAGTTCTGGCTTTTATGGGTTCTTTGTTGGTTCTCATCCTTTTAAACAAGATATCCTAATCTAGAACTTTCCGTTGGTTTTTCATACAGTGTTCTTAAATAAAAAGAACTTCTTTGCTAGACGTAGCACAAATCAATTCCGTAGTTCTGCAAGTCTCAGTGCAATTATTATGTCAGCGGCACTGACTAGAAATATACGAGTTTGGATTTTGTCGAATTGCGTTGCCTATGACTCAGCTAAGGTGCTTGTCTCTTAAACAAAGGACGAGTATATTATGGAGCGATTCCGTCTGTTTAACTTTGTGGCTATGAAATATGGTCTTCCTGTAGATTATAAGTTTCAATATTATCTCATATCTCTTACCCGAGGAAATTCATTTTCAAATCATCTCTAATATTACTGGTACAGTAATTCTGTACTATATAAAGGATAACCATAAATGTGATTGTACAACTCTATTGAGTGATATTATCGAAAAGACATCTTCATTTTGCCTAATGACTCGATGGGTTTGTTTGGTTATTTTAAAATAAGGTCTACCATGCAACACTAAGTTCATTATTGAATAGTTGTATTTGTTAAGATTTTAAATAATCCCACTTCGTTTTGTATTTTTTTCAGTCAATCAAGTTAAATCCACTCTTTACTTATTATTTTCAGATTCATACCTTATGTTGGTCAAATCACCATACTTATGAATGAAAATCCCCGTCTTAAAGTACGTTCCATACTATTTAGTTCCATTTTAAAGTAATGTAATATTGAAAAATATTACGATTACATATTTGAAAATTTTAATTTTAAAAGTAATAGATTTTGAAAAAAACGGATAATTTTACTACATTTGTTCACTTATCAGTTTGTATGATGGTAGTACTTTATGTTGATATTGATTGCTTGTACTTGCCATTAAAAGTTATGTTCTTCCCCTATTATTTATTGGTACAAGGAAGCACCAAACAGATATACGCCACATAAATCACTCGGTTTTTGTGAGGGCTGAGATACTTAATGGGTGCCCAAACTGAAGCAGTTGGTCTTCTTAAGGGGGCACACTCGGAGCCTTCGACTTAAAGGTCTGATCCACAGGGTAGTGGAACAATGTCAGGAAATGCAGTCCAATGGTAGCTGGTGACTAATAATTAGTTCATACGCCATTTGTTCCCTCAGGATACTGGAGCCCATGTGCACCATTGGTTTGGGATCCGGTTAAAGCGCTGGACATTCTCTTTTCGTCCTCTCAATTTCGTAAACATCACCCCCACCGCGAGAAGTCACTGAGTTGGACTTCCCTGGCAGAGGCTATATACGCGTAGCCATATGGAAGCACTTCGGGAGGGAGAGCGAACTCCCCACTCTCGACCGTACCAGGGCATTTGGGAGCACTTCCCTTAACAATTAATCTAAATAATAGTTATCATGTATTTTACTCGTATGTGATATTATTGTAACAAATTTCCAAACCTAACCAACTGTTAAAATGATATACGGAAATCAAATAATCGTGAAGTGACATTAGGTTGTAAGATACTTTTACTTAATGTTTATCTAAATGCGGTAATAAGACCTTGGATTACATGACTCAGACGCATTGTTTCACTATTTTCCTCTTGCTCTTGGATTCTAGTATGCTCTCATATATGCTATGAGGGTTTATTCCTTATTTTTGTCATTACTACATTATTTCAATCCTTTCCTTGTTGTTTTCTCGTGGTTAGTAATCCGGTTTGATAACTTGAATCAACACACTTCTGTGCCATACTCTATATTAAGAAAGTCTGAATGTTTTAACCATTAAAATCAAATACAACATCAACGCTATTCCTTATTTGTTAATCTTTTAACCGATAAATCACCTCTCCACTGTCTAGAATTGCAAATAACATGAAATTATAGTAAATCCCAATTGTTTTCAGTAGAATATTTAATTGTGTAGTGTCGTTTAAACTGCTAATAAAAAACTTTTTCCATATTTATGTTTATATGTTCTTTTTCTACTCACTTTTAGTACTCTGTCTTAGGCGTTATGGGTATCTACTTATTATTGAATAGAAATCAAGAGTAATAAAACTTGTACAAATGTACAGAAACATTATATATATATAAGTTTTAATTCCTATGTAACCATAGTCACTTTTTTATTTTATGAAAACTAACCACTGATCGTGTTGTTGTTCAACTGCTAATGACAAGTCAGACGCCTTTTTAGTCAAGTGATTTGTACTTCCTTTTTGTTGCTACTGTTATTGTTGTTTTGTTTTTTTTTTACTTCTAACCGTGATGCTTATTGTCGATGTGTTTGAAGTTAATTTCAGGTTTATTATTTTTCCAAACAAAGCGCTATCTCTCTGGGGGTGGAGGTATTTTTTTCATCGTCTTTCTCTTTAACCTCTGGCGACCTTTAATTATTCAAGCTAACGTCCATAGATATGAGGCGATAACTGAGCAGTAATAATGGTGCTCAATTTTCGGCCAACTTGATCACGGTTTTAAATTGTGCACTCAACTTCTTCAGTTAAAGTAACTAGGTCATATCATATTAGCCTTCATATACATAGAGTGTTGTTCAAAGCCAAGCATACAAATCTATACTTCCTAGTAAATGAGTCAGTCTGTACCTTATAGATAAATTTTAATTTCAGTAAGTGATTTCTATAAATCTGGTATCCGTTAAATTTCATCCATCCATTCATTCAAATACCTGGGAAGCATAATTGACGAACAAGGAGGTTCATATGCAGACGTAAAGGCGAGGATTGGCAAAGCAAGAACAGCATTCCTACAGTTGAAGAACATATGGAACTCAAAACAACTTTCAACCAATATCATAGTGAGAATCTTCAATACGAATGTCAAGGCAGTTCTACTGTACGGAGCTGAAACTTAGAGAACTACAACAACCATCATCAAGAAGGTGCAAGTATTTATAAATAGCTGTCTATGCAAGATACTCAACATCCATTGGCCGGATATCATCAGCAATAGCCTTCTGTAGGAAAGAACAAACCAGCTTCCAGCTGAAGAGGAAATTAGGAAAAGACGATGGAAATGGATAGGACGTACACCACACAAATCGTCAAACTGCATCACGAGACAAGCCCTAACTTGGAGTCTTGAAGGGAAGCGGAAAAGGGGAAGCCAAAGAACACATTACGTTGGGAAATAAAAGCAGATATGGAAAGGATGAATAACAAATGGGAGGAGCTGGAAAGGATTGCGCAGGACAGGGTTGGATGGCTAATGCTGGTGAGCGGCCTATGTTCCTTCACGAGGAGTAACAGGCGTAAGTAAGTAAGAAAACGAAGTAGTTATGACTAGATGTTCATACTATAGAAATAAACCACTTGTCTGTAGTGTTTTTTTTCTCAGACTAGATAGTCAAACAATATAAAACATCTGATCGCGTTCTTATTGAAAATTTGCATCACAAAAAGCTAACATTTGACAGTGTAACAGAACTTAAAAAATCTATTTTAAAGGTTATGGTTTTTTCGCACATAATTCAACTTCGGAAGAGAAAGAAATAGGATTTCATCTCTTTCTCTAATTAACAAATAACAAAGCTGTGTGATGCATCCAAGTTATTTGACAGGAAAGAAGAATAGTTTGTAAGTGAACTAATGTGGTTTTATTGTATTATACGCCATTCAGGAAACTAGTATTATTCACAAATTGATTTTAGTCAGATGCGTATATAATTGGATGTCGGCCCTCTACAACGATTAAAGGTGCTTGGTTCGACCCCTGGCAGGGTCGTGGATGTATAGTAATTAATCGAAGGAAGGTTTGAGAAAGTTGGACAAAATATTATTCCACATGTACTCCACGTATAGTGGCATGAATTTTATTTCCACTATTCTGGGAACGAGCTTAACTTTTATGGTTGCAAAAAGAGTTAAGTTTCACATATGTTCGTAAATCTCATCTATGTGTGTATGAGATAGTGTTATGATGAATGATGTTCTAGATCTGGGGCTGGTACATAACATACTACGTACTAACCCTCCAACTGACTACGTGAACAAAAAATATCTATTAGGCTGCCAAATAACATGAATAAGTACTCATTTATGTATATAGATTTCTACGCGTTACGTAATCAGTGGTATGCATTCGACCTTTTAAGGTCATTTCTGATTGTCACTAGGTGACCTCATTTGACAACTTTTAACTGGCTCACTATATCAGATAACCTAACAGTAGTTTTATTGCCAGGACTATTAAGGAAATGCGCGTGTTTTTGTCTGTTGAATAGGTTGACAATACTTGTTCGGTTGCATAAGCTTTAGCAATAGAGATTCGTAAATTCTAACCGATCTACAAGGTTTTAAAAAGTAATTCTACTCAAACACCTAACTGTAAACAGAATTGAACAGTAATTGTTGTTTAAATTCGTTATCCTGTTTGGTAATTAAACTTTAGACAACTAAAATTACTAGTCCTATTTCAATTTCAGTAAAATAGAAATTCCAATTCAGGCATATAGTAAGAAGTATTTAGAGTGGAACAAAAATACTTCTTTTAACTAGTTTCTTATTATAGATATATACTATTTATTTATTTAAACACAAACATTGGTACAAGGGGGCACCAAACAGATATGCGCCACATAAATCACTCGATTTTTGTTAGGGATGGGGTACTGATCGGGTGCCCGAATTGAAGCAGGTGGTTTTCTTAGGGGACACACTCAGAACCTTCAAGCTAAAGGTCTGATCTACAGGGCAATGGGGCAACGTCTGGAGATGCAGACCCATGGTAGCAGGCGACCAATAATTAGTTCATGCTCCATTTGTTTCCTTAGGATTCTTGAACCCATGTGCACCATTGGTTTGGAATCAGGGTTTCCCAACTCTCTTAGGTGGACATTCCGTGTCCACTAATCCGATTAAAGCGTCAGGCATTCTCGATTTCGTAAACAACAGTAATGCCGCGAGATGGCAGTGAGTAGGACCTCCCTTGGAGTGGTTGTGTGCACGTGCCTATGTGAGAGCATTTGGAGAGAGAGAGCTGACCCTCCCCACTCTCGGCCGTACCAGGACATTTTGGGGCCCATAAATAGGAGAATATGATAATCAAAGTAATTATTTGTGGACAAGTGAAAACATGCAATTCAATAGTTGATAGATTACACTATTTACTAAGTGAATTAGCAAAGCATCCCGATAAAAAGTCGACTTGATAGTTACGTATAAATAAAGAGACGAATAGTAAAGTTATGTGGTGAAAAAGTGAAATTCCGAAAAAGAGGGAACGTGATCTCCGATCCATTTTTGTATGATTTATATCGATACCCAAGGCAGAGAGAGGAGTTTTACCAACTTTTGAATACGAAGATTCCGTTGACAATTGTAACTTTTGATCGTTTTAGCGGCATACTAATGATAAACCCGTGAACTATATGTTATTTTTCCATGGAATGCGATGATGAGTCTGAATGACTGTCAAAATCAATCAAGTGAGCAAAAATAGAACTCTTGGATGTATTTTGCTTAACCACTCCGGATGGCGTTCTGCAGCAAGATAATGAACTTGCTGAATTCTACTCCTAATACAACTGAGCCCACTAGGTTTAATCGACAATTACTGTTCTGTACTCGATAACCATGTTGATGTATACTTGGTAGTAATTTTATTCCCTCGTCACTGCGCAACATATTATCTATATTTTGTTATGACTCTTTGTGTCTCATTTTCCGCTCCTTTTTTGCTGATAAGATATGCGTAGTCTTACGAACTATGTGGTAGTGAAACATATAGTGTATATTTATTTGGTATTGCGAGTTTTTTAATTAGTGTGTAACGAAAAAACTATTCACCAATGGTTTATATACAATGTCTATAGGTTGATCCTGTAATTAATTTTCTGTGGGTTTTGCTTTAAAGCGACTGTGAATAAATGCCTAACAATTGGGTTGAACCGAGTAACATAGGAGTGCTTTCGAAAACCGCCGGGTTAATTTTCTAATAAATTCCAATTTATTTCGATATACTGTCTTAAAGTCGTTGCTCAGTCAGGACAATCATCCAGTAATGGCATTGTGAAATTCCTATTTACACCAAGTCAGACATAGGAAACCTCAATGTTGCAACAACAGATAACTTGTCCCCATGGCTGTACTGGTAATCCAGTTGGAAAAATTACACTTCTCTTTATATTACCCTGACGACAATACGTCTACAAGTCGAGCTCTTATCTACCATCATGGATGTTAGCAATTTATCAGCAGTTAGATCTGACAAATCTTAACTAAAACAGCCTGTTATTACTGGATTCCCATTAGCAACAATATATGAAATTGAGTGTGCAAGATTTGGATTGTTTCAATTCAGCACTAACATAAACGCATATTTGGGTTAACTGTACGCTAAGCTCCCTGTTTCAAGATAGTTTTAAAGAACAAACGTTGATAGTCAATTTCCCCTTTTGTTACCAAAAATAATCCCACTTATAGCTTCCATTAATTTATGCTATTTAGAAATCACATATTTTCGTGCCGTCATTATGAGTTATTGATACAGATTTATTTAATAAATTCGGATGTTTCAACTGTTGTTTCCATAGCTGAGTTTACTCTGCTCTATATTACGTCGTTATTGTGGCTGAGATTCTTTGCACGGTTGACGTCATAGCATAAGTACTTGTACGTCGAGGTCGCCAAACACGCATCCCGTGGAATTCAAGTCATCTGTATACTTATGTAAGAAATCAAGCCACGACTTTGGAACCAAGTTTCTCGACGGTAATAATTTAATGCACGTGACAGTGTTTGGGATATGCTTTCCTCTGGCTACTGATTAGCACTGTTCCCATACCATATCTTCTGGGAGCACTTAGGAAGATAATGTTCAGTTCCTCCGCCATAAGATAGACATGACAACCTGTGACTTGTCACACAAACGCCATCAACGACAAACCGTAGGAAAAAAACTAATAATATTATTCCAGATGCTGACTAGAAAGTACTTACCAACTTACAGGTAAAAATCCCACGTACAATTTCATCCTCAACAGGTCTAAAGTGACCCTCTTGGTAACTAATTACGGAATTAGTATAGCCTTGTGTTGGTTACGATTGGTGAAAAATATCAGAAGCCTAATGCTCTTATTTGCTAGCTTCATATAATATACGTATGACTAGTTAGTAAGAACCAATGTGGTAGAACTATTAGACGTTTTATTCAACATGTTGCAAAAGAAAAACATTGAGGATAGAATATAACAGATATGACTAAAGCATTCAATTAAAAAAAGGCTAGCAATCGTATTAAAAAGATCGCTAACCATTGACAAAGGAAAAACGACAAAAGTGAAGTACACAAAGTTTGAAACAGATAACTTGAATGGTACAAATGTTTTCTTAATAGATATTTTAATTTGGTAAAGAAAACAATCCTAGGTATGAGTATTTATTTTGGTAGTAGAATAACTACAATACTTCAAATGATGGATAAAATACAATGAAATCATGTACCCTGACAACTTATGGAGAAGATAGGAAAGGGAAAAACAAAGATTATAGTCCATAAGGAGTAAACGCGTTTGCATATTTACTCTATGAGGTCACCATTGCACTTGAGGTGATGCCAGAAGAGGCTTGACGAGAAGACAAGTTTGTCCCGGAGATAGCAGCTCCACCTTGTCCTGGAGAATTCGTGAGCACACCTTTTCTCTTTAATAAAGCAGGATGGATGCACGGTAGGACTCCGCCATGGCTAATATGTACGTGCTTTAACAATTCATTTAACTCAGCATCATTTCGAACTCCCAACATTATATGTCTTGGTGTAATAGTTTTCCTGAAATGAAAGATGTATTACTAAATGAATAAGCTTTTCAAGAATTTTGCGAATCACATTATTTAAATCTGTCGTTAAAAACTCCGAAATATCGTGATTCGACCCCATGTAAAGTATAAGCAGTAATCGGAAAGATTAGGGTTTAAAGATATATTTCAAGGAGTATAATAGAGTGAAATAAATTTGGAAAGAGAAAAAAGAAAGGGACATGAATCCAGACTAGAATTTTGGAGAACACAAAGAGTGGATGCACCTGCGCTATTGCAAACGATTTTGAGCCATGTCATTTAAGGTCTCTAACCATAGGCTGACGTCTCGCGGATCCCAACCAGGTAGTCTACACCTACCAACATGGCTCAGTTCACTTGCCAGCGACTTCATAGATGTGTCCGGTTTTGGTTTGGTCGGCCCTAGCTTTCTTCCAACCTACTCCTATACCATGAGACATCGCATGTCGGGGCAGTCGGTGGTCGGGTATACGTAACACATGTCCCAGCCATCTCAATTGATGAAGTTCTACTACTTCATCAATTGATTTGCCATCCTAACCTAGTACCCATTTCCTAACAACTGCATTACTTACTCGATGGTCCCACGATATACGAGCAATATTTCGAAGACACCTATGATCAAATACTAGTAACCTACGAATATCCTTTACTCTTACCGGCCATGTTTCACTGCCATAAGGTAGGACGAAACAAACTGCTGCGCAGTAGACCCGTCCTTTGGTTGGTAGACGGATATTACGCCTACGCCATAAATGAAGCAAGTTGGCAAAAGCTAGTAGAGCTGGTTCCCAGAACTAAAACATAATAGTGTTCATTTATATCATATAATGCACCTGATCTGTTAGTTTGTTTTCATATGGTAACTAGTATCAGTTTCAAGTAGTAAACGAACTTTTTAAAAGTAAAGAATACGGAAATTGGAGTAACGAAACTAGAAGACTAAAACCAATAATGTGCATAGCATTACCACTCGTTTTTTGTTTAAACCACTTTTCATGAAACTAGAGGCGTTTTAATGTCCATAAAAAGCGAACACGCAAGCCGAAGTTTAACCAATGCCAGAAAGTTTTAAACGATAGTATTAAGTTCTCCAATAGACACAGCAGCCGGTTTTTGTATGTCAGTTATTCGTATTTGTACATACTGTATATACATGTCCTTTTTTATTGTGGAAGTTAGCTTAGTATTTGATGATTACCAAACAGAGATGCAATATTTTGGCTTCTTAAAGTAGTATTTAAGAGTACACCTGATAAAAAATAAGACATATGGGGACTGTTAGATTCCGTATATTAGATACAATAACCGCCTTCCGCTATGTAAACTGATGTACAAGTACGTTAAAAGATAGAGGTAAACAAACCATAATGCGGTATTCATCCAGAGTTATTGACTGCTGGTCTGAATCATGTTAATATGTATGGGCTACTTGTGTGGGGTCTGTGCGGGAACCATAATCAGTAGCTGCAGACGTCCAGCGACACAACTAGATCTACGCTTGTTAGTTTTCAACTTGCGTAAACGCGGTATGACGACTAACGCTAATGCATATTCCCGCTAGGTTTTATGATGGGTTAAAATTCATGCAATATTTTCCAATTATACCTAATACTTATTTGACAAAAGAAATTCAACATTTAAATTGTGGACAGATCAAATGCAAACAAACTGGCAAAAGTCAGATTAAATTTCAAGCATATCGGTTTATCACGAGCCATCTCTAAATTAAACGGGAACCCCATAATTCTTTGCCTGTACAACCTGTTGTGGATGTGAAATACTGTTTGCCATACGAAACACGAGGTATGTTAAGTCTTCCAAGATTAGGTCCTTACGCATAACCGACGTCTTCAATTTTTTCTACAACCCAACAGTAAGGGTTACACAAAAAAGTCTCTAACCACTGAGTTCTGGACTTTTGGAAACTTAGTGGGAACCAAAGCATATGTGATCTACGCAGAACGACGAGCTAGAATTCAACTGTTTGGGGAGTATACATTGCAAGTTACGTACTTAATTCAGCTCTTTTTAGGTTAACTGATAATCTTCACTCCTTCTTCATGTGACTCTGCGAACGTGATTATATGCTGGAGTAACTGACACAGGAGCGATCTGCTAAACTTGTACACATAGGCATTCGGGAAACGAACCAACACTAGTTACACAGTGCAAGCATATTTGGCAAACGGGATGCGGGTCAACGACGATATATTCGTAGACTGATAATTAGTCTTTTATTACGCATCAAAACATATAAATACCTACCTTAAGAGGATTTTTAACTTATTTCTATAAGACACAAACTAGTATGAACTTTATTTCACTGAAAGTTAGTGCCAAGATACTTTAAAATTCTAGTTATTAATGACATTAAAGAGACCGAGACGAAAAATAATGAAAACCCCCACCTTTTGTTTGCTTTTGCAGCATTTCCTGACAATTCATTCACTTCAGCTACTAAGTATTCAATAACAGCAGACATATACACTGATGCAGCGATTGACGTTCGCCGAGCGTATCGACCTTTCTTCATATAACGATGAACTCTACTGACGGAAATCACTAAGCCAGCCCTATTGGATTTTGTGTGTTTCTTGCCGCCAGCTGCCTTTCTTGCCTTGCCTCTTCCTGACATAATTTCTAATCCGGGTTGACCTCAAAAAACAGTCCTAGAGCGCGGTACACCTAAGAGGTCAATAACTTAAACAAAGTGTAGATGTAGATTTTCGAAGGTCTTCCAATTTAATAGTTTCAGAACAGAAGGCCATTGTGGACTATTTTCAGGTAACCTTCTGCACATGCCCATTATTTTATTGGGTCAGTCAACTGAAGTGGCATGCAGTACTTCTTCCCTGTTGAATACTCAGTAGAAAAAAAACTACATTCCAGGAGCATTCTGTTATTTCTTAGCCTTTGACTTCGTATTCCTTATACTATGAGTTTTATTTATCCTGATGGGACAAAGAGACAAAATATCAACCCTAAAGTCTTTTCGTACTGTCCCATGTATCACAATTAAATCACTTTTAAATATGCGATAAACTAAGTTTCGGTCCCAGTTTGTGAAGGACAGGAGCCTAGGTGGCCTGTGTTAGTCCTAAAAATAGTGTTCTTTCATCTGATCCAACTTTCTTTTGAAAGCGTCTACAGATGGAGCTTCAATCACATGTTGAGGTTAGAAATTTCATTCGTTGATGATTCAGTGAGAAAGTCGATGGTCAGCTGACAATTAGTTTGTTCTAGACTTGTGAACTTTTTAGTCTCCTCGTAAATTCTTTGTTTCGGAGTACAAGAAAAGTGAGGGCATATCAGATGCAAAATGATCACTAAGTAATTTAAAATATGTGATCGAGCCGCCTGTGGTTCTTTTACATGACGATGTTAATAGGTTTGGTTTAGCCACCCGAGCATCATATAGGAGGTTTGTTATTCTGGGAATCGGCTTATTTGTGGTTTCTGAAGCTTTTCTGGAAGTTCACTGTCTCTTTTTGGGCAGAGGTTAGTCGCTTGTATGCACTACACAAGTTTAGGACGAAAGAAAACTGTATACATAGTCAAAAATGTCTTAGCATCGACATGACCAAAGACCTAAAAGTGCCACAACCATTCGTAGTTTGATAATGCCTTAACCAGTAACAACTTTCCTAACCAAATGACGCAAACCCAGTCAAATCAATCAGAAACGAAGTGGTTCGAAGATATATATGATAGTCTATCAATATATCGAGAAATGATTAATGTAAGTTGGCTAGCAGTTGTAGATGTAGAGCTGGACGTAATCATTCGTGATCTGGTGCAGATGAGCAACCGAGCACCTTCAGCTTTTAAAACTAATGAGGTCAGCATCAAATGTTCAAGACTTACAGAGCTATTTATTTCGAGGATTTGTTTACCGCTACAGGCCCTATATATTTGCCATAGGATTCTAAAACCGTTAGTGGCTATCACACGGCAGTGTGCAGTGGTTTTTAAGTTTTGGCTAACGATTACTCCTAAGTCATTGCGTACCTGGAAAACAGGTAGCTTAGTGTTATTAACCGTGTATGTATCTGTACCCCAATCACCAATACGCATCGCAATGAACTTGGAAGCATTTGTCTGCAACTGAGAAGTTTTAGACCAGTCAGATAATCTCTCCAGGCCATTTTTAAGCCATAAACAGTGACCTTTATTTCTTATCGCTCTCCATGTCTTGACGTCGTCAGCAAATAACACAACCTATGTTTATAGGAGATCTGGATGGCCATTTACACACAGGAGGAACAACATTGGCCCCAGAACTGTACCCTGAGGTACTCGAGTAAACACAGCTTCCCAGCTAGTCAACTTCGAGTTCACCCGTACTCCGTATTGAAGCCCAACCAGGAAGTCTTTTATCCACATTGATAAATTGCCCCCAATCCCGATATTACCTAACTAACATAAAAGCCAATTGTGAGTATCCTTGTCAAAGGCTTTGCTGAATTCAATGCAGGCTGCGTCTGTGGATAACATTTTATAATTAAGGGCGCACCTACTTTCATGGGCTACCACTAACTCAGTGAGACAGGAATATCCTGTTCTAAAGCCATGTTGCTTTTCAGGAAGAATCCGGTTTTCATCGAGGTACTTGGACAACTCCTTCGAGATAATCTCTTCTAAAATTTTAACAACCTCGTTAGTTAGACTTACGAGTCAATAGTTCTCGGGTTTAGGTTTCGTACTTATTCTGAAGACAGGAATTACTATGCGTTTCTCTAGTCTTTTGGCAATCGACCCTGGGTTACAGATAGATTAGAATATATTCTTGAGGGATTCGCGACGAAACTCGCTAGTTCATTTGGTAATCTAGGATACATTTCATCGGGTCCCATGGATTGGCTTTTATTAAGCTCGTTCAGCAGACCGAATACATGAACTTCTTTAATGGTCACAGTGTGCAGTGTGTATGTATGTGTGTGGGGTTGTCTTGTATGAACTGAAGGGACGGGTGCTTCTACGGTATACACATTTCTAAATTAGTTCGAGAATACCTGAGGTTTTCCGTAGTCGCCCTCCACCAATGCTAAAATACTACTATCTCCCCATAATGCTGGAATATATTCTCTTCTCTCAGTCCTTTGGTTTATTTACGAATATAAGCGTTTTGGGCATTTTTAAAATTCCTTAATAAGTTTTTCTTCAAACAGCCTTCTAAACTTGTGAAGGGTTGAGGCACAAATATTCCGACCTTTTCGATATCGAGATTTCGTTCCCCTCAGAAACCAGTAACCTAAATCTCTCCCACGTTCTTCTCCTCTTACGAAGAGGGGAGCGAAACACTTTATTGGGCCATTGTAGGTAGTTTCAGGAAGCCTTGGTGTAATCTCATGGGTGTGAGGCGCAGTGACATCTAAGTACAAACTTCTGGATGCTTCCCAAGTCCTTTCAATGGGGACTAATCTACTGAGGATGCTGTGTGTATAATGCCTCGTATATTTGCTGACACATGCTAGTTTTTGATAATTATATGGAAATCAAAAACCAGAACTGCATAATCACCTTTAACCAATGGTGGCATATAATAAGCTTTGTGACGTCATACTCACAATGGGTAAGTAAGAGATCTAGTACGGATAATTTGGAGTCTGGTTCGTTCCTAGTCGCTTCTTTCACATGTTGCACTAGTACACATGTGATGACTGTATCAACTAGATCCTGTTCGAAGGAATGTTCCAATAATTAAATTCTCAGATTTTTTCAGCCTATCGTAGTTGTATTGCAGTCTCCTGAGATTGAATATCAACCACTTTGTGACCAAGTATTGAAACTGTCTAGCAAGACCTCTCTCGCATCATAGCTTGGACTGCAGTAGACCACATCAATCAACAGCTCTTATTCTTTGTATCTCAAGCGGTAACTAGCTAATTTTCACATCGCACATTCGTTGGATATGTTATTTTTTAACAGTAAACAAGTTGGTATCTCAAACGAATAGAGCCATTCTTCCTTTATGCTTCCGGATTCTGTCGACACTTACGAATGTGAAACTTTCAAAGTCAGATTCTATACTGTCCAAAAACTGTGTCAACCAAGTTTTCTTGACTGTATTCACATATGGTTTGGTGGGATCTACCTGCACACCTAACTCTGATCGCTCATTGAGAAAACTTCGAGTATTTGTAAGACAGATCCGAAAACCATTTAAATGGATTCGTGCTTCACCCAGAGAGGCTTCAGCATCATCCTTTGCCGGGGCCTCATCATTCGAAAATTCGCAACTTTGGGATTCTTCCCACCACCATCTAACCTAAGTCACATTTCTTCTCCTCAGCAAAAGACCTAACATCAAGCTACCAATAAAACTAAAGTAGTAACGTTTGAACAGAAAACGTTGACACCAGTTTTGGGACTTAAGAGTCTACTCCCCTAGGTGTTTACCTTAGCTAATTTGGATTCAATACCACTGAGAGATATGAAAGATATGAATACCAAGTCGATACAAGCAAATGTCAATTGACGTTTAAAGAAACTGTGAGCTAGGCGAAAGACAAACGAAGTTAAGTCATTTTTTAAGTGTGGTATAGAATACGTTGATAACAACTGCAGCGTTCCAAGATATACACGCAAAATTTCCCAACCTCATCAAACCAAGCTCGGTATTCCAAAAGTAAGCTAGTAGTAACTTATACAGGAGGTCATAACCTGGCAAACGTAAGACTGTCAGGGCCGAACCTGAATATATGCAGTAGTTGAGTGTTGTCCGTTCGTCTAGTGGCCAGTGGGAATCACCTCCACATACAGTCTCGTAGATAGATGAATGTGATAGGAGACCATGCAGCAATTATAAATCCCTTAACCGTCGAACCGTACCAGGTAGGTGTTCGGTGCTTCACATCCAAGATTTTACAGACGGCCTACAGAGTACAATCATATTCACCAAAAATGATCGGGGACATATCACAATATCCCATTAGCTGAGAAAGGTATTCCCAAGACAGCTATTATCACGTACTCTGGGTTGTTGGAGCTTGCGCGCATGATATCCGTCCTGAGAGACGCGGTACAAAAGTTTAAGATGCTTGTGAACGACTTGCTTCAAGATATACCCTTTGCACGAGGGCATATTGATAAGTTTTTGATCGACGGTCTTGATTTGAAATTACATGAATAACATGTGAGTCGGATTAAAGTAATCAGGTAAAAATGAAAGAAGCACACCAACATAGGTGTTTTCGGAGTTCAAACTCTGAGACTTCCTGAATGTATAAAGTCCCAGAAGGCAGAGACTATTGAATAAAATCCTATACCAAGTTATTTAACACAACCTAGAAAGTTTCCGGGTCTAGCTAAATTTCATCGACGACTGATACTCAGTTGTGCATAAAAAGTGTATCTGTTGACAGATTCCAGTAGACTTAAAACAAAAGGTTTTAAGCTGATTTATGGGGCTACTAAGGCTGTGAATGATCTGAAGAACAAGCTGACCCAAGTATGTATGTTGGAGCTTCTAGATCCCAATTCCTCTCTGCATAATGGTAGAATCTTCAGACAAGGAAGAAGAGGACGCCTAAAGCGGATGGTTAGAAGCACATGGTAACCAATTGTATTCTTCTCAGAAATACAGGTTTCGAACGAAACTCCTCCTAATTTGCCCAACTGTTAAATATTTCCGGTAAATTCTAAATCTCATGGAACTTATTCTAGTGGTTTTATTGATTCATTTACTTATCTATTCGTTTAGATGGACAGTTAAGTTCACAAGGTTCCAGCCGGCCGCACCAACAATTTATATTACAGCCCAAAAGTGGCCAGAGATTTCATTCAGAAATGGGTCGCCACTCTTTGATGTCTTTCACAACAATAACTAACGAAGGGGTCTAGTTTGAATTTGAGCTATTCAACAACTTATCAAAATTTCTATGAGCTCATAAAATACATTGCACAACGTATCATCTTCAGGCCAATAGGCTGGTAAACGCTTGTGCCATCAGCTAAAAGCCGCTCTAATACCACGGTCATACCCCACTTTATGGACAGAATTCCTGCCATTATGTTAGGAATAAGAATAGCTGTCAAATATAATTCACATATTTTGGCAGCAGAAAAAACCTTTTAAGCAACATTAAGAGGGCCGGGAGAGTTTATTAGTTCTTCTAACGAAAGCCAAATGCTTGACCTAGCAAATTATGGGACCAACTACGGGTTCAAATTTCCAAACATAAGCCGTTTATGTAAGCGATTTTCCGAAACAGGCATCATCGGGTTTAGTGTTCTTCGCTGATAATATGAGACTCCAGGGAGAAGTTCGCGACTAAGAGGATAATTTGGCACTTCAGGAAGTTCTCACTCGACTTCAAAATTGAGCAGACGGAGTCACCTTTAACACTTCAAAGAGCAAAATAGTTCATCTGAAACATGTTGCAGACTACGAATACAACTTGGGTAGCTCTCTTCTAAAGGCAAATTACGGTCTCGCCGGAGTGCCTTCAATCATTGAACCTTTACCTCATTAGAGTGCAGAAGTCTTAGAGGTGACCTAATGACTTACAACATCCTAAAAATTTCTGAACACCCCATTAACCACCTACTTAAACCTAGTCCCAACATAAAAATCATGGGCACCACACAGAAATTAGAGTCACAACACAACAGAACGGACTGTAGACACACCTTCCGCTCTTTAAGAGTGGTCGAATTCTGGAATTCGCTGCCGAGTGAGCTAGTTCAAGCGACTTCCCACGAGTCCTTTAAGCGAAACCTTGACATATTCTTAAGGACCAAGAGCATTATTTCGCCATAATTTACTAACTGTTTTATCTTTTATCGTTAAATATACCTGGTTTCTTGCCTGGAATCATTGGTGGCCCACTGCTACTAGATACGGAAGCCCTCTAAACCAAAGCTTCTTATATACTGTTCAGAACCATTTCAATTTCCTCGTTGTTGCAAATTACAAGAATTAATATAGGTTGATAAACCTACTATCCTTACTACTGAAGACTGAAGACCGATATTGATTATTGGATGATAAATGACCTTAGGGAGACCTATTATCCAAAGCTGTGCAGTACTGTCTGCAAATGACCTATAGAGTTTCAGGACTGTTGCAGAGGAGCGGCAAAATATTAAAAGGATGTTATTACGGCACCTTGAAGCTTGCAGTAGATGGCAGTATAAAGCGTGCCAAACCACCTAATTATGATTTCTTTAGCTCTGGAAATAATTACCTAAGATTCCTATTTGATAATACTAAAACTATGGACCGATTTAACGATAATTCAAAAGTAATAGTGGTCGAAGGTAATATTGCCTCCGGAAAATCTAACGTCGCCGCTAAGTTGGCTAAATATCTTGATATGGAGTATTTTCCTGACCCAACTGAAGACGACATATATGTTTATAGAAATGTGGAGCCAAATTTTGATATTCGCTGTCACAACTTTTTGCTTCCTGATTATGCAAAATACTATACATGTGAAATGTTTTGGAATGAACCGGATCTCATAAATAAAGGAAAAGGACTATATCTTCAATACCACTTCTACTTAAGACGTTATTGGAATTACTTAAGAGCATTATGTCATTTATTTAATACAGGTACACTTCAAATATGTACTATCCTCTTCCTCAGGTCAAGGCGTTGTGATTGACCGAAGTCCGTTTTCAGAGTTTATATTCGCTGAAGCCATGCATAAGTGCAATTATTTGTCAGAACGGGGTAAATTTTTGTTGATATCTTTTTAAAACCGTAGGATTATTATGGTTCAAACAAAATCACACGATGACTATAAACAACCTCTGGAAACCGCATCTACTAGTGTACATCAAGGCTCCTATTAAGCAAATACGTGAAAAAATAAAGAAACGTAATATCGTAAGTTTGTGTTACTATCTTTTTTCTTACTCACTCACACCTCTTAGTTCAGTATATGATGTGACAGAAATTCTTACAACACGATGTTTATCAATCAACATGTTTCAACAGGCAGTAGCTTTTACCTTTGGTTATCGGCATACGGATTTAGTTGTCGCAACACTTAGTAACCATAGCTAACTGTTAGGAATGGTGAAAAACGTAACACAACTCAGTCAGTCAACTACAACGTAAGAGCATACATATACGTCGATCCAAGTTGCCACACCTCATTAGCACAACAAGATGAGCACCGGATTTATAAAAGTAGTTAATTCAATGATGGTAATGTATAAAAGATTGCATATAAAGATATAGTACAGGAAGAAAGAATTAGTTCGTAGAAAGAAAGATATAAGCGATTTTAATCTCATAGTTTAAGGGAAGAAAAAGAGTGTATACACCTACACCGTTGTGATCGATTCTGAGTCATGTCACCCAGAGTCTCCAACCAGTGGTTGCGATATTCACGCGGACCCCAACCAAGTAGTCTGCATCTACCAACATGGCTCAGACTACAAGTTAGTGACCTCAAGCACTGATGCCACGTTTTGGTTTGGCCGCCCCTAACTTTCTTCCAACCATCCCGAACACCGGTTAGCATTGCACGTCGTGGTAGTCAGTGTTCAGGCATACGTAATACGTTGCCCAACCATCTCGGTCGATGAAGATTCACAGCCTCATCAACTGGTTTAGCATCATTCTCTAACACCCTGTGTTTGACCTCACTATTACTTACCCAGTGATCCCAGCAAGTGCGAGTTATATTTCTACTACAATTCCTTATACTTTTGTGATATTACGCCTCACATCTAAATTATATGCGCAAATCTAGGTGAGTTAAAAGTCCTTAAGGTTAGTAACACCAAAATTAGTTTCGTTCCTCTGACTAGACCTCTTTCTAGGTTTACAGCCTTAACGTTTAAAACTTTTAGCATTGAGATTGTGTGTGGGAGTTATAAAAGCCGATTACTAGTCAGCCAGCCATAAAATGTGTATTAGGAAATTTAACTAAGGAGTTTAAAAAAACTCGAGACGTAAGTTTGATAAACGAATAAAGATACACGGGATTACCAAAAGCACAAACTTTCTTTGATGCTGGAAATTAATACTTTGTTGAAACTAGCCATCACTTGTCTTTGTATGACACTCACCAAACACTAGCTGTAATTCAGAAGTCCTTCTAAGTTTACTTTATCCGGCTGATTGCTTATTAAATCTTATTAGAAAATAACTACCGAAATCCCTATATGAAGGTAATGTAAATGACAGAACTTTAACGCAGGTGTTTGTATTGGAACGAGTGATATTATCCAGCTACTGTAATCAAAATAAATAAAAAGGGATTCGAATTTATGACCTGTTGAGATCCCAGTGCTTTAGATAAATAAGTTCCTTTGACTGTCACTTTGCCTGTGTCATTTAAATGTTTGCTTGTAAGATTAACCTGAAATGTTAACTTCCTAACTATTTCTAACTACCTTTCAAAATCTAAGTATGTTGTGTGTTGATGTAAGTAAAGAAATAAAGGAGCCATGTCGAACGACGAAAGGTATTTTCAGGAACATTATTCTGCTTAATTCAAAGTTTGTAAAATACATGCACTTTTGTTCCTAGTGATTCTACAAACCATAAGCTGCCGTTTAATGCATCATTCATTCTCTATTTTTATACCCTAATATTTAATTAATTAATATTTATTTATTTGAACACAGAAATATTGGTACAAAGGGGCACCGAATACATATGCACAACACAAGCCACTTGATTTGTGTGTGGGCTAGGTACTGCCCGGGTGTTCAGGCCGAAGCAGGACTTGTCAACCAATCAGGTGACAGAATAGTTTTCGTCCCTGCTCAATGCCGTTAGTCTTGGTTCGGATTCACTCACTTTTAGCCTCGACGGCGAACCAATTAGCCTATCGTGTCAAGGCCATAACCTAGGTCGAGCCAAGTTCTCTCCTGTATATCATTAAGTAGATATCAAGAACGTAATATATATTAATCTGTCTACCTCATTCTAATATGTAGTTATAAAACATTCCACTTGAAAGTAGATATTTTAAAACGAAGAGTATTCGGATTTTATGTGCTTTCGAAGTATTGTTGGTGTGTGGTGATACCATCAGTTGAGTAATTTTAAAATTGGACACATAATTTTAAACAATGAGGAGAGGGAAGATCCCTATCTCCCTATTTGTCATTGCCTAGCCGTAGGATACCTAGGCAAGGGTAGCGAATCAATTGGTGAAGTTGTGAATCCCAATTAAACTGAGGTGGCTGAGGTATGTATTACATATGCCCAATAGCCTCCTACCTCGACATTCAATGTTGGCTGGAGTAGGATTAGGTTTGGGGGTAACTAAAATTTGATATCAGTCCATAAAGTCATTGACTGTTGATCTGAGTCATTTTGTTAGAAGACTATCCACACGATAACCACCATCAGTAATTGAAAACATTTAGTGGAGTTGCTCAGAATCTGTCACAATGTTACTGTACATGTGGAGTCCCAGTATTCATTCCTTAGTCTATAGAATTCGATCAATAATAAAGAGGATTTGACAAACATGAAAACTGGTCACTACTCACTGATCAATCGATCGTAAAGAACTCACTTCTACATCTGGTTAGTTGCACCCCGAATAGCTCAGTTGCAACGTCCCCCACCCAGGTGACACAAGATCTAATCCGTCAAAGTGCACAAGTCCCTTCAAGAATATAGGTATACCTCGGCGATGAATGTGAACTAGCTTGAGACCTAGATTTAGTAGATCTTCCTTTTGACACATCCAACCACCTAACATTCCTTGATATATTTCTTTTCATTTCATCTCGAACCACATTCTCAATCCTTAGTTTTTCTCACTACCGTCGTTACTACATTATTTCGTCTCGTTTGCTATTCATCTTGTCGTTCTAATGTGGTATAAAGACTTCTGCTAGCTTACATTTGCTCCAGGCTGTAAGTTGATCACTGACTGAATAGAAAGAATCTGGTCAAGTTGTGAATATGTTTGGTTTGCAATAGCTCGAACACATGTTACAACATGTACACAGTTACTAGTCATATAGAGAAAAAAAGTACAGAGAGTAGCCAAATTAATACATAAATTCACTCTATAAACTAATTTATGGAGTAATGGTCTGATTCATATAAATAGGAGCATACTTTGAAACTGAGTTTCACTGGTGATAATCAAATGTTATTTGTAAACCATGTGTGATTTGATCCTAAAACAATCGCTATAGCTCATATGAGTTCACTTCTTGGTGTTTCTGTACATGTGAAACCTATGATTTCTCGTTTATCTACATTACCATTGTATATATTTCACTTATTCACTATGAATGTACTTCCTCATATACTCGTACTATACTGTTGCATAGTGTAGCAACTTGAACCGGCATAGATTTGTATGAGATTATAGACTATTTTATCTGGACTCTGTTCAATTACTTCAAACAATATATATATTACTAAAGGAATGTTTGATTAACACTTTCTTTAGCCTTGGGAGGTAAACGCACGCAATCTAACTGATGAATTCTTAAATGCTTACGAAGATTTACTTGGAAATTACTATATAGAAAATATGGACCGTTACTCTCATATCCTCACTGTTGACGGTTCTACAGTGGATGTTTACGATGATGATGATATCTATATTGTAAGTTTTTTTTTGTTTTGAAAGAAAAAACAGTTCATTAATATTTGTGATACCTTTTTAAAATCTTGTTTTTATGTTCTTTTTTGAGCATCTGAATTCCATTATAGATGGTGAGTTCATATTGTGCATAATGACCTTCAATTTCTCACGAATTCACCGATTCAATAGTACTATACTCAACAATACAAATGGATATTGTCCCTGATTTATTTTCTAGCTCCAATAAAACGGATTTTTATAATTTACACTCAAATATTTTCTATGGTATTAATTTCATTTTTTACTTACGCTTGTTACTCCCAATGGAGCATAGGCCACCGACCAGCATTCTCTAACCCACTCTATTCTGGGTCTTCCTTTCTAATTCTTGTTCATTCTCCTCATGTCTCTCGCCATTTCTCGATGTAATGTATTCTTTGATCTTCCTCTTCTCCTTTGGCCTTGAGGATTTAAAGTGAGGGCTTGCTTTGTGACACAGTTGGGTGCTTTCCTTAATATGTGTCCTATCCACTTCCAACACTTCATCCTGATTTCTTCCTTCGTTGGAATCTGGTTTGTTCTCGCATAGTAGGTTGTTGCTGATGGTGTTTGGTAAACGGATGTGAAGTATTTTGTGTAAATAAATGTTAATAAACACCTGTATCTTCTGGATGATGACTTTCGTAGTTCTCCAAGTTTCTGCTCCATACAGTAGAACTGTCTTGACATTTGTATTGAAAATTCTGACCTTGATGTTGGTTGACAGTTGCTTTGAGTTATATATATATATAGTGAGAGTTGTGAGTACACATTTCTCCACAAAGTCATCAACTTAAGTAATACATATACACAGTACTAACTGATTCAATATAGAATAAATCATTTTCTACTATATGAGTACATTTTTGACTTTTATTCAATGTATTTCTTTTAAAGATTGCACAAAATGCCACTGAAATTGACTTAAGTGGTCAATATTTAATGCGTGATGATTACAAACTTCTTGAATGGCGTCTTGCTTTAAGATACGCAAGTAGTCTAATAAATTCCAGACTCGAGTAAGTGGATTGATCTTGAAATAATTTATCATTTACTTGTTTAATACTTTGTTAGTAAGAAAAACGTTCATTATTTAGACCTGGATTCATAACAGTTTGACTTTTAATTTATAAATAAAGGGCATTTAAATGTGTCCTAGTTTATTGTTCATCCCAAGAACTTTTATATCATTTATTACTTACCATTTATCATATTAAATGGAAAAGGTGATTAGAGATGATGGGGCCTACTTATAGTTTCAAGGATTGTTCAACACTGTACCTTTTGTGATATTATCAAATATATAAGCAGAGAAAGATGATGGCTAGCAGTGGAATTGAGGACACGAACTTCGTCCTGTTTTGGACTCGTCAGCTCGATGTACCTGCATCCCAGGCTTGTTAGTGTTCATTCCAGGACTCGAACTCAATGTACAAGTTGGTGGCTGTTTGGACTCAGTAGCTAAGTGGATAACGTAATGGCTTTTTAATTGAACGTTTTTAGGTTCGAGTCTCGGAGTGAGATTCAGGCACGTCCAGCTGATAAGTCCCAAATGAGACGAAACGCGCGTCTGGGATTCTACTGCTAGCCACTATCGATTTCTACTTATAATGTTTGTGACTTATGGCAATATCGAAACAATCCTCACAGGATACAGGTATATCAAAAGAGACTGATCAATTGCAATCCTAATCATCAATAGGAAGATACAAACAACCAACACAAAAAACGGATTATGGAATATAGTTCAGAATCAAAGTCAGTGGGCGATCTCGTTGCTGTTTTTCACCATACTATTTGTAATAATTGGATCGTCTTCATTAACTAAAATGAGTCTTTCTTGACTATATTTTTAATTCATTTATATCTTTTATTAAGTACTGGTTTTGTTCATTTTCTTTAGTAATCGTACTCCTTCCCTTGTTCTTCTACAGTATTATCGGTTGATTTGTGTGATGGATATATTTTTTGATACATTGTGTCGTACTAGAATATTTATTTATGTTTAAATAAATAATTATAGATTCCGGGGAACCCTGTAGGACTCTCTAGTCACTAGGTGATCATACAAATTGACACTCATGTTTTTTGTAGTTTAAATCACGAACTGATCTTAGCTAGATCATCATAGGAAATTAGGTTTCACTGGACAGTTGTTTCATGCTAGTACGGGACTCTTTAATAAGGCATATGAACTGCACCGCCACAAATTGAATCGATGACTTTTGGTCTCACACGGATGCTTAACCTCAGACCCTTCCAGGTTTCCACCACTTACACCGTGTCATGTGTGAGGCAGTTCCCGACCGTTGTTACTACCTTGACGCGGTGGTCGGGCTTGCCTATCGTGATGAAGCAACCGAGCTATACTGGCTGGAACAACCGTTCCTCAAGGTCCTACCATGTCAGACAGGTCGGTTGAAGAGTGGTAAGACTAAAAGCAACAAACCCAAGGTCCGAAGGCGAAGTCGTACTGCTGACTGTAGAGAGGTGTGACAGCAGTAAGGTGTTTCCCTCGGACAACCAGCATGACAGCGATGCTGCCTTCCCACAAGGAGGGGTGGGGTTAGGAAAGGTCGACCCTAAAAATGTCACACCTCACCTTACCTCACGGATTTCTGCTTTCGGTAGTAAGGCCCTTTGAAGAACGGAGCTAACACGTCAAAAACCTCCCACGAAAAGGCCGTGCACGACCGACCTCAAGCAGTTGTCCCTTGGGCACTGCGGTCACGCTCTCAGGTCACTGAGACCGCCTCTAATCCAATTTCCTTTTCAGGTACCTCCAGAAGAACCCTTCCACGGTGTGGGCAACCGGGAAGTGATAACCGCCCTCATACCTCTAACAGCACCCAAGACCACTGTATTCATAATCAACCTTCCTCTTCAATTCCTATTATTCCTCCTACATCGACTTTCAACCCTAAACTTCCTCCTTCGGCTTCCTCCAAGTGTCACCAAGTGAGGCAGTTACCCACCAAAGACAATGGTAGATGATCACGCAAAATCTCGAACTGATTGAAACTAGACATCGTTGAATGCTAGCTTGTGGGGTCTAGAGGTCAAGCGTTCGCGTGCGAGATCAAATATCTTGTGTTCGAGTCCTGGACGTGGGATCTTGGGTGTACACTATTGAGGAGTTCCATACTAGGTCAAATCGGCTGTTCGGTGCTTCCAAGTTTTCAATGGTGGTTTAGCTCAGATCGACTCCTGAATTCAACTGTGGAAATACTAAAATCTCCAGAAATCCCTATACTGATAATAATCATGTGCTCATTAGTGACTAGCGTCAAGATGAAGCTCCTAGAGTTCTAATGAGAAACCGTGACCAATGGAGTTCAACAGTGTCTGTTGTGAGACAGTTACCCATCGAACAAAATGGAAGATGGTCGCGCAATATCATGAATTGGTTGAAGTCATACATTAACATCGTTGAATGCCTGTTCATGGATTATTTATTGTCACATATTTTACTAACTAACATCTAACTGCAAATATATCATTCAGTAAAAAAATACCATCTTCGTTATATATGTATTGAGATTTCTAATAATTACCTATGTAAAATTAGCATTACTGAGTTCCCTACTAAAACAAGACGGTATTGGTTCATTGTTTCCTGGTTTCAAATAATCATCTAATCAATCTCAGTTCATGATTTTAAATTCTTAACTCATGAAAGACTTATAAACAAGAAATATATGAAGCTCATGGCATATTTTGTTAGGAAGTCTTAATATACCTCTCATTAAAGTATTGAAGCTTAAAAGATACTTGTAAATGTTTTTTTTTTCAATCAACAATAAATATAAGCTTCTCAGATATATCTAAGAAAATGAAAATATGCCCCCAAATGCCCTGGTACGGCCGAGAGTGGGGAGAGTCCGTTCACCCCACATGGCCACGCGTATATAACCTCTGCCAGGGAAGTCCTACTCACTGCCTTCTCATGGCGGAGGTGTTTTTTACAAAATTGAGAGGACAAAGAGCGCATGTCCGGCGCTCTAACTGGGTTGGTGGACATGGAGAGTCCACCTAGAGGAGTTGAAAAACCCTCATTCCAAACAAATGGTGCACATGGGCTCCAGTATCCTGAAGGAACAAATGGCGTAGGAATCAATCGTTGGTCACCGGCTACCATGGGAATGCATCTCCTTACGATGCTCCACTGCCTCGTAGATCAAACCTGTAGGTCGAAGGCGCCGGGTGTGGCCCCTCCTAAGAAAACCACCTGCTTCGGTTTAGGCACCCGGGTAGTATCATAGCCCTCACACAAATCAAATGAGATCTGTGTGGCGCATATGTATTTGGTGCCTCCTTGTACCAATATGTATGTGCTAAAATAAATAAATAAATAAGAAGGGTTATATTTCATCTTATGATTGGATAATTACCTGTGTCATTACTATATTTAGCATGTTTCCAGAGAGTTCTAGAAGATTGAAGCTACGTGTAATTATGAATATACTTGATTTTCTGTATATCATTAATAATTCTGGAATAAAGTGTTCATTTACATTTCACTTGTTTTCTCTATTATTCGAGTTGAAATGTTGAAATAGTTTAAGACTATAGAAAGTAACTAAGAAGTCATTAATGAGGTATTATAGTAGCAGACATATCATATCGAACATACTGAAATATGGGAAGGTTTAAGCGCCATACTTTATATGTAAGAAAGTAATCTGATATAAGTGTGATATAATTCACAAATTCATCCTTAATCACTAAATCGCTTCTAACGTTATAGACTATAACAAACAAATATCTAATTTGTGGTTTGAATATACCCCCTTCAAGTTATTTATTTCATATTAGATTATAGTAGCTAATAGTAACATTAAAGTAAGTAATCCTCTGTCGAAATTCATAAACATTTTCCACTATTATAAGCAAAGATGGATAGTGGCTAGTAGTGGAATCCATGACACGTGTTTCATCCTATTTAGGACTCGTCAACCGAATGTACTTGCATCTTAGGCTTGTTAATGTTCACTCTGTGATTCGAATCCGTCTTTGTTTATACTATTTATGACTTAGTGGTGATATCAAAGCAATCCCTACAGGATACATATATACCAAAAGAAGAGATATCCATTTTTTTAATGGAGTTTTGTTCTCTGAGGTGGATGGTTTGGTTGTGGAGCTTTCATCGTTCTTCTGAACGATATTATCAGCACAAACTTTAGATAGAAGTGAAGTGTTCGAATTTCTCCATATGTGGTTCACAGCTTGTCCTGTATACCTCGATGTTGACCTTGAACTTGTCATTGTTTACTTCTGTGGTTTGATTTTTGTTCCTATGTTTGTGCATAATTTTCGAATTCTCAACCACAATAGCAACAACTCAAGAGCTCACAAAATCAACTGCATACACACTTTGTTCAAGAGGGCGAGGACACAGTGGCAGCACGAAAAAAATGGAAAGAAATACCTGGAGGACATATGTCAAAAGAACGGCCACCCAATCAACTTCATCAAAAAATACCAGCCGCATGCATCATCAGAATCCAAGGCAAGTACAGAAATCAACAAAAGGATCTCCCCACCATACATAAAAGGCATATCAGAAACGAAAACAAGGCTGCTGAAAACCTTCGGAATAGGTGTGGCACACAAACGAAGAAAATCACTACAATCAATCTTATGCAAACCAAAGAGTGAAATGACAAAAGAAGACAAATCAAACATCATCTACAAAATAAATTGTGCCAACTAAGAAAAACACTACATCGAACAAAGCGGACGCTTACTTCATCTTCGCCTGCATGAACACCAATTAGCAATCAAACGCCATGACATTCCCTCACTTATATCAATACACGTGGAAGGAAAATTATGCACAAATATAGGAACAAAAACCAAACCAATGGGAGATACAATCAAAACAATGAAGTAAACAATGACAAATTTAAGGTCAACAAAAACTAATCAACATCAAGGTCTACAGCACAAGCTATGAACCTTATATGGAGAAATTCGAACACTTCATTTCTTTCTGAAGTTTGTGCTGATGATATTGTTCAGAAGAACGATGAAAGCTACAAGACCAAACCATTAGAATCATCAATCTGAGCTACAAATCTTCTCCACCATCTCAAGATTCATTCATTACAATCCTAAACGTCAATAAGAGGGAGAGAGAGGGGGGGGGAAAGATTCAAGCAACTAATATGCAAATATTATCAAAGTTACTATTCATCAATTTCTTATTTGAAAAATCAGAGTCCCATAAATTTGTATCGATTTTCTTTTCTCTTTCTTCTCTTTTTTACTTTTCAAGTTTTTCAAATGCTCATGAAAAATTTACAAGAGTATTTGATCAAGTAGAATTTCCTATGGATTTAAATGAATTAACTTATACTTATGAAGCACAAGAATTACAAGGTGCAGCTATTCATATGGTTAGTGAGTTTATTCCTTTTTTTTGTTGTTGTTGTTGCTGTAATTCATCATTATAATAATAATCATCATCATCTAATAGAGTTGAATGATGAAGGTGAACTTAAGTGACAATCAATAAATTTGACTGATTCTTAATGTAATCTGATGTTAGCGGGACATAGATTAGATTAAAGTATGCTTCATGGATAATTGTGTTGCTGCACACTGGCTCAGTGGTCTAGTGGTTAAGTGCTCGCGTGCGAAGCCAGTAGGTCCTGGGTTCAAGCCCCGTGTGGTGCGGGATCGTGGATGCGCACTGCTGAGGAGTCCCACAATAGGACGAAACGGCCGTCCAGTGTTTCCAGGTTTTCCATGGTGGTCTAGCTTCAATCGATTCATGATTTCAATCTGTGAAATTTCTATAACTCTCCACAAAACCCATTCTGATAACAATCAACACTAGTCGATACTTGAAGAAGACTCTAGGAATCTTCTCATATAAAAACTATAAATATACTTACGTTTTCCCTGTTGTGCTTCTTACTTCCATCTACTGTTGGTACTTGAAATATAATCTCTTTTCCTGTTCAACTGTGTTCTGATTTGGGGAGTTGTCGAGTGAAGTTAGTGTCCGAGATCACTAAGCAATAAGAATAGCTGGGTTGTTATAATAAAAGAGAATTATAACATCTGGTCAATCACAACTCAATGAAATAAGACTAACTAATTAATTATGTTAGAATTACCCTTTGAAAATTAAGACTTCACCTTAGGATTAAGATAGTAGATTAATGGTCTCACTTTCAAAGCTAAATTATTAAATGATTTTAATAATCTAGAAAGTTAGAACACAATGGCGTGTAAATGTATGACATGAATTCGCTTATTATTAAGTAATCTAATAAACTACGTTTATAATGTGTATGATATTGTCCAACTGAACGAAAACTTGATAGGGATAATCAAAATTACAGAGCGTCTTGGTAATATATGCAAATCATAGATTAAATACATTATTCTCCCATCTCCCATTAATTCCTGTTGTTATATTGATTGCCTTAAGTTTTCTTATCTTGCCCCTTTATTTCAATCTTCTAGTCACAGGCATTCCATATACTGCTTATATCTGTCAACATAAGTAGCATACTGTATTTATTTAAACACATAAACGTTGGCACGAGGGCTGGAATACTTCCAGTGTGCCCAAACTAAAGCGGCTGGTTTTCTTAGTGGACCACTCCCCGAGCCTTTGATTTAGAGGTCCAATCCAGTGGAGCAATGTCAGGAGATACAGTTGTATAGCAGCCGGCGAACAAGGATATATTTACACGTCGTTTATTTCTTCAGGATCCTGGAGGCCATGTGAACCACTAGTTTGGAATGAGAATTTTTCAACTGCCCTAGATAGATTCTCTATATCTACCAACCTGGTTAAAATCATCAACGGACATTCGCTTCTCATCCTCTCAATTTCGCTAAACAACGTATATGGTGCGAGAAGACACTGATCAGTAGGTCTCCCCTAGCAGAGCGGTTGTATACACGTGGACATATAAAAGAGCATTTCAAGAAGGAGAGCTGTCTTTCCTCACATTCGACCATACCGTAGCATACCTCATATTGTGTGTGTGTGTGTTTGCATAAATTCCGATTTGATTTAAATCTCTCATTATTATCATTTGTTTGTTTATTTTCTATGTATGTATCTTATCTTTTTTTTTCTCCTTTTAGGATCCTCGTACTTGTATACCACCGGCATATAATCCAAAATATAAAAGTATACTTGAAATAATGTTTAATCCATGGATTATAAAAACTAATTTCAGGGCTGATCTACCAAAAAATTATATTTGGAAGTAAATATATTATTGTGTTTTATTCTTTATAATATACAAAACAACATTTACCATATTGAATTGAATAGTGAATAATCTGTTTATTCCACTGATTCTAATGATTCAATTAACTTCAATTCATTCATTGAAACAATTAGGAATATATACATATATATCTTCTAGGTAGTATGTATACATCATTTATATTGTGTTGCCTGTTTAAACACTTTTGATTGAATGGATTTTCATCTTTTGTATGTGTTGTATAGAAATATGAAATGTTTAGAATAGAAATTGTTATAATGCTCAGTTTTTACTTCGTTTAATGTTATAATGGTTGGGTTGCCATGTTTACACATATGAGACGTTAATTTACCTTTTAGATGTATATCTACACTAAATTCTCATCCCACCAAGTGTCTATTATTCTACAGGACTTCAATACAACTCAGATGATCAAGAACACCGTGATTAGCCTGACCACAATGTTAATCTATTTCCACACCAAAAACTCAACACAATCCAACAGTAATGAACAATCAATAATGAGTGAATGTGTCGCTCAATTTCGTGGATTAGTTGAAGTTAGACATTAACACCAATGGATGCCCGGCTCAATGGTCTAGTGGTTAAGTGCTCGCGCACGAAACCAGTAGGTCCTGGGTTTGGACCTCGCAGGGGACGAGGTCGTGGATGTGCACTGCTGAGGAGTCCCACAATAGGACGAAACGGCCGTCCAGTGCTTCCAGGTTTTCCATGGTGATCTAGCTTCAATTGGCTCATGATCTTAACCATTGAAACTACTACAATCTCCTCAAAACCCATCTGATATTAATGAGTCCTAATAATAATGATAGGGGAATATATAGCTCATCCGACACCTGTCAGACTATCTACATATCCGTCTAAGCGGACAACCAATTATTATCTACGCCCACACATAAGAAATATATATAAAGCTATATTTGTGTTTATATTTTACCGTAGATTCTAAAAAAAACTTAATTTATGCATAATTTTCAATTGATCAGAGGATTTCCAAACCCCTACCCCATTCCCAACAACACCACTCAAAAGAGTGTGTGTGTATGTGTGTGTATGGTAGAGTACAAATGTATAAACTCTTTTCGAAATTTATTGGATGGTAATGTCTTGACATACGGTATTTGAAAGTTGATACTGATACTAACTCATTATATATGCGAATCTGGTTACTCGAAATAAAAGATGAAGAGTGAGAAAGGAAGTTTATTTGGCTAAATTACACCATATATATATATATAATCCGTGTCGGGTAGAAACAGGTGTCTAGCTCATTATAATGGAAGATGGTCGCGCAACTTCGTGGATTGGTTGAGGTTGGACATTAACACCATTGCATGCCGGCTCAGTGGTTCAGTAGGTTAAGCGTTCGCGTGCAAGACTGAATGCCCTGGGTTTGAATCTTGGGAATAGGGTCGTGGATGCGCACTATTAAGGAGTCTCACAACAGGACGAGACGGCCGTCCAGTGCTTCCAGGTTGTCAATGGTGGTCTAACATTGATCCATTCATGATATCAATCTAAACACATTAGGGATTGTTTACCTGTTACTTAAGTGTCTGTGTGTATGGAGGTCAGCGCAGTTCTGTGATTTCGAATGGTTCAACATTTGGAATTATACAATCTGTACAAAATCCTTATGTACAATAGAAATGTACACGGAAATAGTGTTTCATAGTTTCCCTATTTCCGTGATTTGTATAAATGATAAGATGATATTGTTGAGACAGCTTAACCGAAATAAATAGGAACTAATCCTCAACCCTTTAATCTAGTAATCTGATCTGAAGAAAATTGCTAAGAAACTTTAGGAAATGCCAGTCAGTGATTAAGGTTGGCTTATACACTAGTTGTTCCTTCAAGATTTTGTACTACACATGCATTATTGGTATACAAATAGTATTTCCCGACTTACTTAGATGAGTTCATCCATAAAACGTTAGACGCCCACTTCTCTTTGCTATTGCCTCTCAATGTTACCATTCCATTTTGATGTGACGAATTTTGTTTATCTGTTTTGGCGGGATAAGTTTTGGAAAAGTCGAACTTTCAGAACTGTCTTACTACCTGAAGTTATTGTTTTTATGTTTGTTCTCCTGCTTGTAATCTTCTCTGTGACATACAATACCTTCATAATACGTTGTATCTTTCTTAATTTGTTAACTTATTACGAACTTATTACTCAGTTCTTTTTCACTTATGGGATAGTTATGCCATTACTGTAATTTTCCAATTGCATTGATGTGTGATCACAATTTTGCCCTTTTGTATGAATCATAGTTGAGTTGAATAACTAAAGCTGGCTGCTGACTTTTCTTTAGATTCAAGGCAAGAGATAGAGAAAGGATTATGCAATGGTGGATAGATGCAAGCTTAGTTTGTTCCAGCTCAAGGTTAACTGTGTCGATCAAAAGTGTAATTAATGAAGTCTAGAATGCTAGGTTATTAACGGAATAGTTGAAATTCCGATAAGCGACTTTAACACATATCAGCCAGTATTCTCAAGCCACAACAGTATCCTATAAAAAGGAAATCGTTGTTTTGTAAAAAATGAATCTAGTTTCGAAAGGTAATATGATTTCATAAGACTTCGGTTTGATTTGGTTTCAATAAATGGGACGAAAGAAATCGTGTAATACTATCTCAACCTTCAAATTGTACTGGCAAGATGGATAGTGGGTAGCGATGAAATCCAGGAGGCAATGCGCACATATCCCAACAAGAGACTGAGGAATTGTAGTTCTACATAACAGTGGGAAGATTCAAGTAAACAATAATACCAAGTGAATTTGAGAGAAGTTAGGTTTATATTTTCGAAATGCATACAGATGCCCAAATAATCATAAAATCATCCCAATAATCATGAAATACCTTATTTCAATTTACGCTTGAAATTTATATCGACCCATTGAGTTTACTTATTTATTAATTTGAACACATAAACATTGGTACAGGGAGGCACCAAATAGATATTTGCCACATAAATCATTCGATTTGTATGAGAGCTGGGATACTGCCCGAGTACCTAAATAGAAGGTGGTTTTCTTAGGAAGCCACACTCGGAGCCTTCAACCTAATGGTCTGATCCACAAGGCAGTGAAGTAACGTCCGGAGATGTAGTCCTATGTTGGCCAGTTTTCAACAATAGGTTCATACGCCATTTGTTTCCTTAGAATCCTGGAGTCCATATGCTCCATTGGTTTGGAATGAGGGTTTTCCAACTCCTCTAGGTGGACTCTCCATGTCCACCAACCCAGTTAGAGCGTCGGACATGCGCTTTTCGAGACATCCGAATGATGTTCATGCTTTTGAATGTTTATTGCCAGTAATCACGATGTCTCTGATTGGGCTCTTTTATAGACTGTACAGTGAAAGATCGTGAACGTTTCATAAACGTATCCGAATAGGTTATGCAACTCATGAACATAATGATGTATTAAAACAAACAAAGAAGATAACTTGTAAAAATTTCTAGATGACAGGTACAGTTAGCACAGATATTCAAGCAGGACTTTAGCTCTCTGTGCTGGATGGTTTGTTCATGAAGATTTTATTATTATTCTGAACCGATATCATCAGTACAAACTATCTGAAGTGTATGCTGATGATATCATTCAGAATAACCACAAAAGCTCTTCGACTAAACCATTCAGCTCAGAGAACAAAACTCTATCAAAATCATTCACCTGAGCTATAAATCTTCTCCACCATCTTATGTTAAATATTGATTTCAAATTCTTATATTCATTGAAAACAAAAACTGATTGAAATTGATGATTATCAGTATAGAGTTGTGAAGATTGTTGAACTTTATGAACCGATCAATGTTAGATCAACACTAAAAATCTGTAAGAACCAGATGACTGTTTCGTTCTAGTATGGGACTCGTCGTTAGTGATCGTCTACTCTGTAACGGGTGCTTATCTATAACAGTTCATGTAAAAATGATGAACAAGAATCATGAGTTTAGAAAGGAGATTGTGTTTGTCTTAGTTTCTATGAATTAGATGACATAATAATGTTGATCCTATTGTCTCAAACAACACAGTCAATAACTGAAATTTAGTAATTAAGTAGATTTATTGAAATTGGTTTAATTAATTAAACAGAACTAATGAACATTTGATGATCAGAGATCAAATTTATATATAATATACTCTTGTGGGCCAGGGTAATGTTACATTGGTTTTCAGGAGAACCAGACACCATCTAGTCTTTCACTTGACAACCCATACAGTGTAGCTCAATCCCGTTTAACAGGAGAGATAGACAACACGCAGGCTTAACCTAAGTAGTACAGTTCAATCACAGAGAACAAACATCCATCAGAAAAATCTATTTCTATAATAATCAATCCATTTAGATCATTCATTCAATTTTATAATCATCCAAAATCTTTTAGTACATGAATAAATCACTGATTCATTACTTGTCGACAGATTCATATTAGTCGTAAATTATTCAACCCTCTTTTCTTTTCTTTTTTGTTTTTTACTGGAACAGTTGAGTTACCAAATCGAACTATACCGGTAAGTATGTCTTAACGACAACAACCACAATGACAAAAAGAAAAGAAAAGAAAAATAGCAGAAAAATGTGCTAACGGATCAACAATCGAATTCTAATGAATAAACCATAGAAGTAAATTCAATTTGGACAATATGTAGAGAAAGGAAAGAAAAAAGAGAAGAAATCGATGAAAAAGAAAGAATTCCAGAGAAATCATTAAAAAAGAAAACAAAAAAGCAAAAAACAAAGATCTTTCAACAGAATTAACAATAAAAAGATAATACCGGCTATCAGATATAGAATGCCGCTAATTCATATGCTCTTTTTTGTCTTTCAAGGGATGAAGAAGAATTATTGAATTTGTAAAAGATTTTGCTTTTCTTATTCAAAAGTAGTTCATGGGGTTTTCATGCTCGACATTTTATCCAATAATACGAATACTACTAATAGTAATAGTTATACTACTAATATGGATAATAGTAATATACTACTACTACTACTAATGAGCTATGTTTGAAGCGATTACGAGTTCACCTAGTCCGAGAACGGAACAAAGACTCTATGACCAAATATCAATAAGATAGCTATTCTGACGCGTTCAAGCCCCACTATTTAAAGAGAGAAGTCCATGTTCAAAATGGAGAATATGTTCCGTAAGCAGCCAGAAGCAAGAGCAATAACAATAGGCACAAATCTAACGTCTATATACAGCATATAGTTGTCCAGAACAAGAACACAAGTGGCAACGATCTGATATATTTCAGTACAAAATTACAGATCATCTTAGTTAAATCTGAGAACAGTACTTCATTTGCAAAATGTCAATTAATGGTCTCACACTTCATTGTACTTTCATTTCCACACCAATCATTTTCTCTTCTCATTGATCTTCTTAGCCTTCTGCTGTCAGGTATTTCACTTTCGATTGATAATACATACTACTTTTATTTATCGATATCAGTAGAACATAATGTGAAACGATTATATATTTTCCTATATATAAGAAATTGAAAATATAAATTCTCATCAATCGATTTCCTAACTTGTTTGAAAAGAGTAGACAAGCAGAGAAATTCACTGACATATACAGAGTATCCATTCAAGATTATCGTAACTTTATACTGTCATAGATTGTAACCTGTTATTGATATAAAATGAGTGTATCCAGTCAGGATTTATAATAATATGGTTATTATCAATTTAAATTAACCTATTTATAAAATAGGTGACCCTATGATCTGAACGGATCCTCAAATCTGAAGGTGATAATCGTCACATGTTGGTATTGACAATTGACTAACAAACTACCAAATGTTCCGTTTTGATCTTGAAGTAAATTCCTCATGATATACTGATTCATCAGTATAGGGTTGATGAAATTATTAAGTTTTTGATTGAAATCATCAACTGATTGATGTTAGACCGCCATTGAAGACCTGGAGGTACTGAACGGCTGTTTTGTCTTATCCTGCGAGTGGAATAATCAATGCGCACTGCTGAGGAGTCCCACAACGAAACGGTCGTCTGGTATTTTCAATCAATTCGTGATCTCAATCAAATACTGGTATCAGTTAGCAAAGCAGTAACGATTACGAAATGTTAGATAAACACCTTCCATTGTAACTTTTAAGGTCTCACTACACATAAGGATAAAACGGCCGTCCAAGTTTTGAATAACAGTCTAACATTGATCCACTCATTATATCAATCTAAACACAACAATCTATACAACCCTAAATTGATAATGATATAATAACTAGTTAAGTTTAATGTACTATTAAATTTTATTGAAATATATTCAACTTTCATTGGTGCAGAATACTAGAAGACAATGTCAGTTGAATTAAACTACAATAATAATTAAGATGTAACTTCAAATTACATGTGAACTATTTTACAATGTAATCTAATAGTTGAGTTCATGAATCAAGTAATGCTAGATCACCATGGAAAGCCTTGAAACACTAGATGGCAATTTCACCTCAGTATGGGACTCATCATCAATGCACATTAATGATCCCGCATGTAAGACTCGAATTCAGAACCTTCAATCTCTCGTGCGAACGCTTAATCTCTAGATCATTGGTCCGGTATTCAACTTTGTTAATGTTTAATTTTAAACAATCCATAATATTGCGCCACCGTCCACCGTTGTCTTTAACGAGTAACTACCTCACAATCAATCAGGTTGAACTCCACTAGTCACTGCATCTCACTAGAACTCCAGAAAATATCTCTTAGAGACAGTCATTAGTGACCGTGACGGAATCGTGTATACACACTGTTGAAAAGTCCCATGCTAGGACGAAACGGTTATCCAGTGCTTCCAGGATTTTGATGGTGATCTAGCTTGGATTGACTCATAAATTCAACGCTTAAATCATTCTATAATTAAAGTAGATTAGTAATTAAAACTATCTGGAAACAATAAAATAATCAATAAAAAGTAACACCTAATTAATATCAACAGTACAATCAATAATAACGTAGTCCAATAAAGGTATTTCATTCAATTATTTACTACTTTTACATACATACATACCTTTAATATAAGTAATATATGGTAGGCAAATCACCTGCAAACAAATTGATAGAGCAGATATTTGAAAGATCCATCATCAATACAAGGCCGACTGCGATCAGTAAAGTTATCCAGAGTCGTCACAGAATGTAACACGCACAGATGAAGCCGCACTTGATTGGTTCTGTTCTAATAAATGGACCCGTCTCCTTGCTGGTCAGGGATTCAAGACGTGTATTCACTCTAGAATTAATTAAGTAGATTTATAGAAATTGGTTTAATTAATTAAACAAAACTAATGAACATTGGATGATCAGAGATCAAATTTATGTATAATATATATATATATATATATATATATATATATATATATATATATATATCCTTGTTGACCAGGGTAATTTTACACCATCCAGACTTTCACGTGACAACCCATACAGTACAGAGCTGAAACTTGAAGAGCTGTTACAATCATCATCAAAAGGGTGCAAGTATTTATAAACAATTGTCTATACAAGATACTCAATCGAATAGGTAAAATCCTATGACTATCTGTTGAGTAAACTTTTTTGCCTCCAGATGCCCTGGCACGACCGAGGGTGGGGATAGTCAGCTCTCTCTCTCTCCAAATGCCCTCATATAGCCACGTGAACAAAACCACTACCAGGAAAGTGCTACTCACTGTCTTCACACGAAAAGAGTGTTATTCACGAAACTGAGAGAACGAAAATTGAATGTTCGGCATTTAACCGAGTTGGTCACGTTTTAACACAACATTGTCTAATTCAATTGAATGCTCAAATTTAGCCGTTCTTACACTACGTTTGTGAACTTGTAACTGTAGAGTGTCATGATGAAGTTATCGAAAACACTTTCCACTAAAATATTCTTCATTTCTTCCTATTTAACACAGGGATTTCTGGTTAGGTTAGTTTGTATAAAAGCAAGCTCACAGAAAACAGTTTGAAATTGATGAGATGGAATTGTTACACCTGGAAATGACACCGGCATAACTTTGCACAAAGAAGAAGAGGAATACTGTCGGTAGGTACAAGGTGTGTTATTAATGTTATTAGCTTTATTCAATATTATATATATACATATTATATATATTACATTTTGCCAGCGACCACATTATCTCTTATTGGGCTCTTTGTAAATTTGACAATGAAAGGTTATACACTTTTCAGAAATGCACCAGGATAGGTCAATAAACACAATGATATATTAAAACAAACAAAAAATAGATAACTTTGAAATATCTGGATGGCAGGAACAGATAGCCCAGATGCTCAAGCAGTACTTCATTTCAACGTGATATTGGTTTAATGACTATTTTATTAGTCGTTTGAACTACATTGTCTTTCAAATGGGTTAGTTGTAGGGCTTAACAGAACTAAATTCATACCCTACACTGACATGTTCGTTTTTTACTTTGTTAGCTAATTTACAATTTCTACCAACCAGGATATCACACATATTTTACTCTTATTGGGTTTGATTTCGACCGACCAAAATTAATATTGTCACTTGTAACCAAGCCCTGAGGTCAGCGAGAAATTAGAAAAGGAAGACGAGTAAGAAAGTTAATGAAATAGAATGAATAATCGATCAGAAATGTCTCACTGATAATGATAGGATAATAGGTGATTCTTTTACATGTAGTATTCTGTGATTAAATATAAGCGATTTGACAAATATATCGAAGATAGTAAACGTACTTGAGTGGAAGTCAATCAAAATGACGTGGAACGGGATATAGACTTCTTAGTTCTGAGTAGGAAGAGGAAATTATTCTACTCTCTATGCACAAGAGCCAGACGAATATGCAATGAAGACATAATCGATGGTGAACTGAATATAATCCGACGAACAATTCTGCACAACGGCTTCCAAATCAGGTGCATTGAAAATAATCTGGAACCAGGATATCAAGTTGAAAAAACTGCCTCAGTTCATCACTGAAAGGTTAACAATTGTTTTATTGAAGATTAGTGACAGTCAGAGAGATAGTGATGCAAGATTTCAGTTCCATGATAATCATCATCGATGTTTGTTGGTTTAATTGTTTGTATGTCGTCTTGTCTATTTTGATCAAGCGGACCATCATGTTTCACTTCTGTACTTCATTTGAGACCACTATGTGTTTGGCAACTAGAAAATCTGGTTGAATTGATTTGGAAGATAGTATTGAACAATAGGAACGTATTATTTTCGATAAACGTTCTTAGTTTGGCCTAAACATACACATGCTTCTTACGTGCTCCTAAATCTGTTTGGATCGTTCAGACTGTAACTTGACGATTCAGTCAGTATGATGTGCTTGAATATTACATATAATCATCATGTCTACCTGAATTCTACTAGTCTAATATACGATTTCGCATAGAAAGTATTTTTTGAAAGATAGTAATAATAGTGTAGACTATGTGAGAGTGGTTTTGCAAATATCTGTCTGTTAAGCTAAGTTGTTTGAAACCTTCTATCACATAATGGGTTAGTGAAAATATTTTCGTGGAAGCCACAATGATGATTTGAATAACAACGTCACTCCTCCTTTGTCTTTCCATCGAATCAACAACATTGACAATCAGTTTTCGGCCTGTGAACAGCTGACCTTCATGCACTGATTTCGAAATAGTCAGTGCCAGTGAGCTCACGAATTGATTGTGCACTTTACACATGCAGAAACGGTATACAAGATATAGATTGATGATAGAACTGATATCCGTTACACGTTTTGTTATTCACGTATCTTTTGTCTCGCCAATTGTTTTCACAGTAAGTTGTTCAAAACACGATTCCATTGAAAAATGCCAAAATGCGACAACATCAAGTGTGAAATGTATCTGGTCTGAAAAGGCTAATATGTGCATTAACAGCGATGATAATTAGAGTCATGAATTCACAGATTGTTTACAACATTGCTATATTCCACATTGTACATCCAATGACTCGGAAGTTTTAGTGTTGTTGTGATTTATACTACATATGCTGGCCGATATGAGTAATATTTAATACAAATCAAAAATAAAATGTCTGGCAACAGAATAGTGTGAAAATCGAGTTGAAGAGAACGTTTATACAATAAGGAGTGATTGTAACGAAAAAGAACCAGAGAACTTTGAAGTTTATGAGGGACAACTGACGGAAGATGTACGAATGAAGTATTTCATGTACGGTTTTCATATTTTACGATGACAGTGTGATTTCGCATTTAAAATTAAATTGGTTGGTCTCACCATGTCTTCGTTCACTGTGGTAATAATAATGATATTAATAATAGTATTAATAATGGAAGTGGCAATAATTTCAGTTGTATTATTATTATGAATAATTGCATGTTTGTATTACGATCATTACTGGTAAGCGGTTTATTTATGGCACGAATGGTAGAATTTGTAGAAATAGCAACAATGATAATAAATCTAATGATAGTATCGGCAGATGTAATCATAATAGTTAGTATATGATTGCGTAGTTTGTCGAGTTTTATATCAGAAGAGCCAAT